CCCTAACCCTAACCCTAACCCTAACCCTAAGATTGATCGTATTAAATTATCCATTGCCGCGGCGGTTGTTTCAGAGGAAACAACCATTTTTCATGGACTTTTGCAGAGTAATCTCCCAGAATCGGAGAAAACCTCGGAGAGATTGGCAGAGGAGGCGGCGGTTTTGTTGTCTGCTGGGACAGATAGCTCTGCGAACACTTTAGCGGCTATCACGTATCACCTCCTTGCGGATCCTAGGAAAGCACAACGACTGCGTGCGGAGCTTAAACTCGTTGTTCCGGAAGGACAACTTCCAACGTTTGCCCAGCTCGAGACACTCCCTTACCTTAGTGCTGTGATCCAAGAGGGTCTGCGTCTTCATCCTGCGGTCTCGACGAGACAACAGCGCGTTGCACCCGATGAAGATCTGGCTTATACGAATCAAAGCACCGGGCAAGTTTACGACATCCCAGCAGGCACATGCATTTCCATGACCCCCGCTCTCCTCACCCGACGAGCAGATATTTACCCCTCTCCTAATGAATTCCAGCCAGAGCGCTTCCTAGCCAATCCGAAGCTTAAACAGTACCAGCTGGCGTTCTCGAGAGGAACGAGAATTTGTTTGGGGATTAATTTGGCGTATCAGGAGATGTATATCATTCTTGCCGCGCTGTTTGGGAGGTTTGATGTCTGGGATGGGAGTGGAGAGCAGAAGGGCTTAACGATGGAGCTTTTTAAGACGACGAGAGAGGATGTTGATATTGTGAGGGACCTAGTGACGGAGAATGTGAAGAGTGGGAGTTTAGGGGTAAGAATTCTAGTAAAAGGATTGTAGGCTGTTACATGGGGCATTCGGCTGAAGCTCTTAATGCACTCATACCTGCTGAACCATTGATATTGGTTGATAACGTGGGTCCAGAACCTCTCCAGCGCAAAGAGCATGGTGAATTTATTGAGCACATTGCTTGGCCAGATGAGGGAGGCAGGGGAATGAGGCAGCCGTTATGTGGCAAGTTGTTAGAGAAGGATACGGCTAAGAGCAATGAGCACTGGGATCTAGATAAGTTTATTCTAGACGGGTTCTTAGCAGAAGTGATGTTCGACAACCCAAAGAAGAATTGGAAAGGGGTAAGCAGCTGGGGAATAGGTCGGAGGCTTGTTTTAAAATGATATTAATGTCACAATAAATAAAACCGTAGAAGAACAAGACGAAGAAAACAAAGCCCAAGAATTGGTCAAAGTAGACAGATGAATGTATGTACACGACGCAAAGGGATATGCAAAAAAATGGGGTAAGGTCTTACGTAATAATAAGTTAGTTTTGAACTTAAATTCATTAGTGCTCAAAAAATTTGGTAAAATATTAGGGCTAGTACATTCTTTTAATATTTCATTCCAGGTTTGCCTCAAACTCATCTTATCGTTTAGAATTTGTAGACGCCGAAGGAATTACAGTAGTCGTATTGCCACCCGCTAAAGCGATAGCGGCCTTTAATGGTGTAAACCAGCAATTCGCCAACTTTGCATTACCAGAATTGTTCGGATGTACTCCGTCGTTTGTATCCGTTGCGGTGTTAAAACCTGTGAAGCAATCGACAACGCTGATTGGCGATGCAGCGGTGGACTTGGTAGGTGCCCAAGCGACAACGGCCTTGTTGAGATTTATCACCCCTTGATTGCAATCTGAACAACCACTGGGGTTCATAGGTGTGATCTGAGCAACGAGAACTCTCATGGTTGGCTTTTGAGAACGCATTTGGTCTACCAGCTTGGTGAGTGCAGCAACGATCGTTTCAGTCGGCAGATGACTCCATACGTCGTTGGTGCCGAGCTCCATCATAACGATATCCGGCTTTGAAATGCTAAGCCAACCGGGAAGTTGGTTGTTTTTTACGATGCCAGTAGCAAGAAATCCACCATGCCCATCATTTTCACCATCGTATGTAAATCCGCAGCCTTGACCAGCGAGAGTTCCTACAAAATCGGTGTTCTTGATGTTGGCATTCTGCAGTTGCTGCCACAAAAGAGCACGCCAGCAACCCTGGGTCGAATCAGAAAATTTTCATATCAGGGTAGCAATTTGAAACAGTACGTACTGGAGATCCAGTGATACTGTCTCCAAGCGCGTTGATTCTGACTGTAGCGGCTCCAAGTACAGGATTTAAGACGCTAGCGGAAACCGCCAGTAGCATTGATTTTGCAAAATTGAACATTGTAGCGGTGATAGTTCTCGTGTAGGGTACTATTGCATGTAAACTCTAGTTGAGGTTAGGATTGATCAGGGCGAGAAACCCGGAACTCGCGTCTTTTATGTCTGCGATAATCGTGCCACAGAACTTGTAAAGAAAATTCTAATCATGTGTTCAATATGGCCCAGTGGAAGTTCCTGATTTGCGGAGAAATATTTGCCTAGTGGCGGATAAAGTAGTAAACATGTCAAAGTAGTTTCTGATGATCAACCGCTCGGCCTTGGAGAAAACCTGCAATATTAACAAGTGGGTGTTATTAGTAGAAGTAAAAAGGAGATTTTCCCCATCTTCAAGAGGGCGAGAAAGCGATTTTTCGTGTTATTTTGTCAGATTATCGGCAACTTTTCTCCATTGAATAAATAAATACGCGGGGTACTGGTGTTGTAAGTTTCCGGATTGGAGTGGCTAAAGTGTCTTAAATTGCTCAAACAACTATTTAACGCATATTAATCCACCCAGCCGAGTCGCATATGGGTTGAACCTCAAATTGGAATCCACTTGATGAGTTCTGAGTTGGAAAGCCTTGCATATCCCTCGTCCTGGGGAATTGATGGCATTCCACCAATAAACCGAATTACCAATGTAGAGCTCAAAAGTCAGCGATGGGTCTCTCACAATGAAAATCACTACAGGAAAGTTATTGATAATATGGTAAAGCAAATGTGTCCCCAGGAGGAGTGGCAGACGAAAGGAACTTAACATACCTGTCAGTGGAGTTGTTGTGGAAGTTATACCCGGCGTAGCGGTTGATGCAAGTGTTGAAGTCATTTGTAGGGGTGCTGACGACGTTGGCTCCGGTATAACGAGACTCATTTTATAAAACTTGCGCAACGAATGGACCCGTGGACCGAGAGTCACATCATATAACGTGCCCTTTGACAATGGGCAGTCTCGAGGTAATGAGCCCTATTATCTCCGTGGTCGTGAGCGCAATTGGCTTTGAACTGGATGGAGTAGGGGTGTTGTTCGTATTTGAGGCAAATGTTTACGAGGCGGAGGTGATTTTATTATTCGATGGATAGCCTTTGTCGTAGAAGAACTGTCCTTAGACTTCTGAGATCGGGCAGCCATCGACCCGCTAATGCCACCGCTGACTGCTGCGCCTATGACCACGACAAACGCGATTATCGAGAATAAAATCCACAAGTGTAAATTCTGTGTGCTTTGTTTACGCTTGACACAAAGACAACCACTTTAGGAAGGGTATCAACAAATTCACCCCTTATGACTTCCATATAGATTCTTGTTGACATATCGAAGCAACAACAGAAGACCTTTCTGGATTAGCAAAGTTTCGTAGATTCGCAAGCCGAAGCGACGGAAGCCAATGAAATTTCCATGGTTAGCCGCTCAGTACGGAGTACAGCGCCTATAAAGGCTTAGGCGGCTCGCTTACCAAGGGATTGCGGCGCAATGCAATGATCTTTCTATTTCTGTACGTACTACTTTCAAACACCAACATCTCTTGAGATTCCAACCTCACCATTATTTCGACATGTCCGCAGAACATCAGCTACTTGGAACTCGTTCCCATGAAGACCTCACTGGGAATTCAATTGTGACTGTCGAGCTTCCCCCTTGAAAGTCACCATGATAGCAGGTCCCAGACGCCTGAACCGCAAGTACAGCATCCTGAGCTCCGCCATTTGTTTGAGTCTTGTCGTCGTGGTGTACTACATGTACTGCGTGGGCGAGCTGCCAAAGTTCTTTCCCGGCAACTTCTATGAAGGAAGCCTTCGACAATCCAAACCATTGACAGAGACGAAAGATGACGATGTTACCCTCACATCGCCAAAGCCCCCAGCTGCCACTGCGGGTCTTCCGGTAGATTATTCGCCTTTAACATTCAGCGAAAGCCAGCAGAAATGCGAGCTATTCTTCACGCCGGCCTATCTTGAGCACATCGCGACCCATCAACTACCATATTGCGAATCGGAGTCGCTAAGCGCATTTCAGTGCTTCACAGCACCTCGACTTACGATACCGATGACGGGAGGGTGGGGACAGACCGACCCTCTGTGCATCGCCCAAGGCGTGTCTTTTCGTCCGGAGCAGCAGACCGGCTCAGAGCAGGAATTTGGCATCCAATGCAAACTTCGGGATCTAGCAGCGGAGCGAGCCAACTCCTCAGATGTTGCATCTGGGCTCGAAGGCTTCCGTGACCGGCCCACAGACTGGGGATGGTATTGGGGTGATACGGGCGTGGGTGCTTCGTTAAAAACCTGGAAGTTCGAAAATGGCGGGGACATCGATGGCTGTACACGGGAGAAAAGTGATAGTAAGGAGTGGGTGATGCTTATGCGACGGGATAGCACCGACACACACAACATATGGCACAAGTTGATGGAGATTTTGCAAGTACGTTTTCGGGGCTATTCTTTCCCTTGCCTTCTCTCATTCTATGTTATTCACCTCCACAAATGCCTGCCCACTGAGTCTAACGATCACATTCTATTAGGCGCGACATAGTTTGGATGCACTACGGATCGCTATCAATCCTGCCACAGGAACATCTTGGCTGTCCGAGGAAGATGCCGCACATGTTCAACTAGTATTTGACGATGATCGGGAGGAGCTACTGGAACCGCTCTGGGAGATTGTTACTGGGGAAAAGCCCATCCGCAAGAGCTCCTGGGAGCGAGCAGCTTGCTTTGGCAATGTGATCCTTCCGCTTCCTGGGTGTGGCAGTCCTTTTTGGTCTAACCTACTGGACACTGGCTATCCTGAGGCCTGCCCCTCGCAGACACTTTTGACGACATACGTCCACCGCATCTTTGATTTTTACGGCGTGGTCCAGCGCCCCATCACCGATATTCACAAACATCCGACAATTACAATCGTGGAGCGAAAAGAGAATAGGAAGTTTGTCGCACTCGACCGTTGGGTGAAAAGTCTGAAGGAACGCTACCCACAGTCTCCTATCAATGTGGTCGATTTCGCCAGCATTACAATTCAAGAGCAGATCAAACTTGCCCAGTCGACCGACATCCTCGTTGGCCATCACGGCGCTGCCATGACGCACATCATTTTCATGTCACCTGGAGCGACGGCTGTTGAGATTCTGCCTCGACATTTCGACCAGCATGGCTTCCGCTCTACAGCTGCGATGCGTGGAGTGAATTACATCGCGGGTAGATGTATGCATAAAGAAGAGTATGAGAAGGCTGTGCATGGCACACCGTTCCCGGAAAACTGGACACCTCCCACACCCCAGGAATTTAATCATTGGCAGAATGAAGAGTGGACCTATTTGACGGATGACGAGTTTTTGAGCTTGGTCGATGCTGCGGTCAGGAGTCAGATGAATAAACTTGGAAGCAGCAACTCTTAAAAATACACGATTCAAATATCATCGTATGAGCAATTAATGTATATACAGCTGTAACACCCTAGGACTTATGAAGCAGCACATGTATTTTTCCATTCGCCTCGAGAGCAGGGCATCAAAAGTGGTAGCCGAGCTTGGAAAAGGAGGTTGAATCACGTGATATTAATCATGAAATATTATACTTCTCTTTATCCACTACCTACGTGAGACTTTATTGGGCATCTTCCATCGCTACTCAGTATCTTCTTACATCTAACCCAATATCGTATATCTAAAATAAGTAGGAGCCAATTTTTATTGAGCTCATTCCGCAGAGTGATCCTTTGCGCAGCATTCGTTTCCAGTCTCCCGAAATTCACGATAATCCCGAAATTCACGAATGAAATCGACTTGTTGTCAGAATTTAGGTATGGCCGTTAATTCTTTTATATGGGGAAATGATGAAAATGATACTCTGATTGGTGGGTTCGTTCCCCAACTCGGTTTCAATTGGCTGTTGGGATCATCCACCATAAAAGCAGAAGCGAAAAGAGGTGCTGCGTATGGATAACAATGAGAAGAGATTTGAAATCATATTCCTCGACAGTGAAGGTTTTATTTCATGGAGCGTGTATAAAAGAGGCGTGATTTCTCCTTTAATTCCAGTCTATTTTATTTCTAGAAAACAGAATCAAGTAACATTCTCGCTCACAAGTCTGTCTCTTATTGAAAGACAAACTACTCGACAAAACATCCTCTAATTCGTCTATTATCTTAAGTAGATAAGACAGATTCAAAGTCTATTCAACAAGTAGCAAGATCAAGAACAAACGCACACGTTCTCAAGGATCCTCAGTCATGGCTTCTCCAGTATTCCAAAGAGTCATTGTTCTTGGAGCAGGGGGCAGTCTTGGACCTGCCATCCTGAAAGCACTCGCAAGACATTTCGAAGTATCGATCCTCACTCGCAAATGCTCAACTTCCTCTTTCGCACCCACCTTCAAGGTTGTTACCATCGCAGATGACTATCCAACCGCCGAACTCCTTGAAGCTTTCAAAAACCAAGATGTTGTTGTATGCTTGATGTCGCCATGGGCCTGTGAGAGTCAAAAGCAAATCATCGACGCTGCTGTCAAGGCTGGAGTCAAGAGATTTATTCCCGCCGAGTTCGCGTACGACTCGACGAATGCAAATGCCATCAAACACTTGCCTGCATTGCAAATCAGAGCGAATATTGTTACACATCTTCAAGCGCAGGAGTCCAAGGGTCTCACCTGGACAGCTTTTATTACCGGCCCGTTTCTGGACTGGTGTCTCTTGAATGGAAGGATGGGTTTCGATGTGGTCAATCGAGAAGCGATGATATTTGACCAGGGGGATCAGCCGTTCTCTACAAGCACGCTCGCATTGATCGGAGGTGAGTGATCGCCTCGATATATTACCCCCCCCCCCCCCCCCCCCCACGCTTTGTAACCCCAAAAACATGCTTCATAAGCAAATGTTTTAAATGCCGCGAAATAAAAGCTGACAACCCTTCTTCATCTAGATGCTGTGGCGAGAGCTTTATTGCAACCCGAGGCGACACAAAACCGTCGCTTATTCGTCTCCTCCGTTACCACCACGCAAAACAAAATCTTGGCCGCTCTCCAGAAACATTCAAAGGAACCTTGGAAGACAACGAGTGTGGAATCAAGGACAAAGGTCGACGAGGCGAATGAAATGTTTAAAACCGGAGGAGATCCTGTTGAAGCGTTCAAGTTCCTAATTATGGCTGTTCAATATGGCGCAAACACTGGTAGTGACTTCTCTGGTAGAGATTCAAACGAGCTTTTGGGTCTTGTTCATGAAGATCTTGATGAGATCGTGCAACGAGTCCTGGACGACTAGCTATCCGAAGTCAAAAGATTGCGTGGCGTTTGAACCAGAAGACAGTTCCTGTTTTTTCGTATCTTGTGAGATACTGGCGATGTATCCATAGACCTATCGTTGGTAGTAGTCTTGTCGACAATTATGGAGAACTTTCAATACAAGTATATTTTTATCTGCCCTGCCAGTTCGTCAGAAACTGGGAAGCCACCCAAGCGTAAATCTGAACACGGGTCCTAGACAGGCTGGCTCCTTTGCAGACCAGCCAGTTTCGGATTTCGATCACACGGTTGGTTGAATTTCGTTGATGATGTTGACTGCAATTTTCGAATCCCATATTCCTTCGTGTCGATGGTTAGATTCTAGAAATTTCATTACTTGATTCCGCAAATTAGAATTGAGACTCTTAGTTGGGCGAAAACAACAGTGCAATAACGCCCACATCTGGCATCAGTGCTGGCAAAGCAGAATCGCTGAAAAGCAAGAATCTACACCAGCTGACGATCTACTCGAAGTTATTCGCGTCTTTTTCCAGGATGGTCTGTCCCGTGTACCTTGTGAAATCGGGACTCAGCATCATTGTGGCTACTAAATGATGTAGCTGGAGAAGAGTAATTGCTTGTTTGTTTATGTCAGTTTGCGCTTCGTCAGGTGTACTTAGGTGTTTGTCGAAAACCATTTTCCATTCCATAAGGTTATTTATAGCCGAGTCTCTTCCTCGCACAAACCTTGGGGAGTCCGATTCTTGAAGAATAAGCTTTGCACATTTTGCCATGTGGTAATTAGTACCAAGAGATACCAAATCATCGATCTGATTTTCCTTCTGTCCTGAGAACATGCTGCCGTTGAAGCAAGAGTATAAAGACGTTTGTGACTCTTCAAAACCAAGAACCGGTCCCATATTAAGACCACAAAGACTTCGTAATTGCCCAGCCAGTCGAGCATGATGGGTATTATCCACGAAGTAATTCGCTTGAAATCCAACTCGGGTGAGAATATGAGGGATGGACAGCAACGCTGTGGAAGCCGTTATTGTCGCATGGGAAGAAAGAACATCCAAAGTGCTTCTCAGATGCGTGATCGCATGTGCTAATTGCCCTCGCAAGCTTTCAAAGTAGGAAAATAAGACACAAACTATCACCGTGACGATGGTCGACTGATCTTTTGCAGTTTCTTGTTCCTGCGAGTGCTTAACCATAGTACTGAAGGAAAATGCTCTCATTCTGGTCACCATGAGGCTATTGAGGCGCAAAGCCCTCGTGCAGGGAAGCCAATGCAACAGCAGCATACCGGATGAAGAGTTCGCGTGGCAAGCCTGTGGAATTAAACTCGACCAGAATTTGGTACCAGATGCCACAGAGAAGTGATTGGAAGTGATCGTTCTGAATTTGTGGAACAAGCGACGTTTTTTTATTTCACCCCAAAGTTCAATTATCCGTTTGCAATATAGTTAGGAACAATATACTCACAACGAGATTGTAATGGACTGAATTCTGAAAATTGTTTCGTCGCCGATGGTAGGAAATATCTCAGTAATGGCTGCATGTATTTGTTCCACGGGAGTATGCTCGCGAAATAAATGCTAGCTCCTGCCTACTATTATGAGGCTGCATAATGATTTCGCAAAGTGCTCAACACAAAGTTTAAGTTATTCAAGATAGCCCACGAACTACACCGTGCGCGATGTTATACCAACTTGATCGGCCAAATACACGATATCGTGTCTCAGCTGCCATTTGTCTTGCGCAAAGACAGGTAGGTACGAAGAAAACGAGGATCATCCCGTATTTTACTTACTGCCGGGTTGATGGATCGATTATTTACTACAATATCAAAACGTTTACACTTGCGACCGGTCGAGTAGCACTTGTGACATATTGGATGCCGTTCGTCACATTTAACCCGTCGTACTCTATGGTAGTTAGATATATACGAGGCCTATATTATGATTGATTGTATATCCAACCTGCATTTTTTACAGCCAGTTTTAGTTTTGCGTGCATATTTTCGGGAGCGTCTAGGTGGTAACATGCTCAGTCGAAGAGATGGTGGTGTTTTAAAGAAAAAACATAGGAATGGCGTGGGTGAATGGAAAAGGGCACGGAAGTCCACTGTTTATTAAAAGCTGATGGAGTATCTCAGTGTTTCCATAACTTAGAAATAGGGGATCGTAGAATATACCCCGGTGCCAGGTGGTCGCCGACGACGTTGAAGTTGATAGGTAATCGGCCCTAACTTTTTCCAGTGGTAACAACGACCCCGCTGTGGAGAGCCACCGGGGAACTCGCGGAGCTTAGAGTAGGTTCACGGAAACAGATATTGCAAGGGTGGGACCTTTGAATTTAATTTAAAGCTACCCGATTCGCAGATGCTTTTCAAACTTCAAAATTGTTTCATCTGTGAGAAATTCTATCACTTCACAGGGAAACATGCCGGAACAAATTCTCGACGACATATCGCATCGGCGGTATAATCCATTGCGGGGTACTTGGTTGCTGGTCTCCCCTCATCGCACCAAGAGACCATGGCAGTATGTATACAATCATTCTGCTGCCTCCCACATACGATAGAAATACTGACGATCCAGAGGCCAACAAGAGTCGGCATCTAAGATTACTCTGCCTGATTACGACCCTGCGGTATGCGACCCGGTATTCAGCGTGTAAACAAGTCCTGATTGATCTTCAAGTGCTATCTCTGTCCGGGAAACAAGCGCGCTCAAGGCGACACGAATCCCAAATACACGAACACCTTTGTTTTCGTCAATGACTACAGCGCGGTGAAGGAGGACCAAGCGGAATACAAGCCCGAAGAGAACACGAAAGGTTGGCGCTACCTGCTAGTTCCAGATGCATTTTGCTAATTTCGAGAGACCTCTCCAGTCTGCTCCTCCGCGCAGAATCGGTAACGGGAAAATGCTATGTCCTTACATTTGCGCCGAACCATAATCTCACACTTGCCGACCTCTCCCCAAAAGAAATTCTCCCTGTCGTCCAAGCATGGACCGAAATATACAAGGCTCATTTGTCTCCAGACTCCCCGCTTGCGAAAGTGTCCCTACCAACAAAACTCGAGCCCATTGGACTTTCTCTTGCGGCCCCGAATGCGCAATACAGATGGATGCAGATATTTGAAAACAAAGGCGCTGCCATGGGATGCTCGAATCCTCACCCACACGGTCAAGTTTGGACTTCTACAGGTTTGCCCGACGAAGCAGCCCAAGAGCTAGTGCAGCAAAAGAAATACAGGCATGAACACGGGGGATGTTCGTTGCTGGGGGACTATGCCAAGTTGGAAATGGAGAAGGAGGAGAGGATTGTGTTCCAAAATGCGACATTCTTGGTCGTTTGCCCTTGGTGGGCAACTTGGCCATTCGAGGTTATGATTATCAGCAAGCAGCACAAGCGCGCTTTGGTTGATTTTGACGACGAGGAAAAACAGGACTTTGCGGAAGCTATTGCAGAGGTGACGAGACGTTACGACAATTTGTTTGAGACCAGCTTCCCATACAGTACGTATATCCCCAACGTAAAAGAAAACGGCTTAGTACTGACGGTCTAAGGCTCCGGAATTCACCAAGCCCCCCTGGAGGGCACTGACGAGGAAATTGAAGCATCGCACTTCCACATGCACTTTTACCCACCGCTACTTCGAAGTGCGACGGTGAGAAAGTTCCTGGTCGGGTATGAGTTGATGGCGGAACCGCAGAGAGATATCACCCCCGAACAAGCGGCGGCAAGACTGCGAGACTGCGGAGGCACACTATACAGGAAGCTGTTGCAATAGGGCCGTGTGTTTCATGAATTTGTCTGATTCCACCACTAATCCATTATACATTATATAAACACCCACCATTATCGAAATAGACTCGGTTGAAACAGCCTTGGGTATACCACAAATTATCGCTACTCTTGATGAATCGAAACCCTTTACTGAACGTAAAACCCATGTTGTTTCCACATCCAGACCAAAGTTGCGTTTGCGATCAAAACAGGGAACATCAATCCCCTTCCCCATCTTGCCGTCTTGAAAACCCACCACTCAGACATGAAATGGAGCCATGCCACGACATATGTCAAATATGCCATTTGGTAAATCTGCGGATTTGAAATGTTGTAGGCAGCGTATGCTCGCACCATGGATTGAATCAAAGTCCATGTACCGAATGTTCGCGATGAGAGAGGCGTGGTAGGGGATTTAGGAGGATAGGCTTGCCCTGGTGTGGGCGCCGGACCGAGATAGACTTGCTCGGAATAGTTCGTGGTGAGGTAGCATTGAACCGTGTTACCAATTGATACTATAGATACCTGCACGTCGTTAGCATAATTCAAGAAGTCAAGTGACAGAGAATAGGTACAAAGAGGAGCCATTGTGGGAGAAAACCCTCGGATTGCGGCAGGTAAGCGGAAATTGACGAGAGAAGGGACGACATTGCTGTAAATTGCGCTGGTGTGATTCTTTTGCGATGTGCAAAAAGCTCTGGTTCCAACGGCAATAAGATCAGGTTGTTCGAAGTCAGGCTTCTCTAGTTGTTCCAGTCCAAGATCGTTTTTCGTACTTTGGGATGTTCCTAGCTGGTTTTGGAAAACAATGGTTGAAATTGGATCTTGACGGCCAACAGCGGTAGGGGCAGCAGGAAGTCGATGGTGTTGGTTGATGGTTGTTGACCTGAATGGCGCACGTTGCGCAAAGCTCTGGGAATTCACATGCGATCGCCCGACCCCTGCAGTCTGACATTGGTCTCCAAAGAAAGTCCAGCCAGCTCAACAAAATTAAGTATGATACCCGACGAGACTACTCGTACATAAATAGGTTATTTCCACCAACGAGTTGGAAACAAAGATTCAAGGCACCATGGATTCCTTCGCAGCGAAAATTCCAAACACCCTTTTGCTAGCCTTGGCTGCAATTGGGTTCTTTTCCGCCTCCAGCAAAATCATCAGTTACGCCCGCTTGCTCCTGAGTTTGTTCGTTCTCGGTGGGAAGAATGTGAGTTCTCGCGACTACTTTTGCTATCATGTTCTGATCTTATGAAAAGCTTCGAACATACGGCAAGAAGGGAAGCTGGGCAGTCATTACAGGTGCTTCTGACGGTATCGGAAAAGAATACGCCATTCAGCTCGCGCAGAAGGGGTTCAATCTTGTCCTCGTGTCCCGTACCGAAACCAAGCTCCAGACCCTCGCCCAAGAAATCGAACAGAAATATGTTGGGTCACAAGTAAAATGCAAGATTCTGGCAATGGACTTTTCGAAGAACGACGATGGGGATTATGCCAGGCTGAAGGCATTGGTCGACGGGCTCGACGTTGCAATCTTACTCAACAATGTCGGACAAAGCCATAGTGTTCCAGTGCCATTTTTGCAGACGCCGCAGCAGGAGATGAAGGATATCATTGGCATCAATTGCTTGGCCACGTTGAGAGTTACACAAATTGTTGCGCCAGGAATGGTACAAAGGAAGCGCGGCTTGATCATGACTATGGGTTCCATGGGTGGCTGGATGCCAACTCCTCTTCTCGCAACCTACTCCGGAAGCAAAGCCTTCTTGCAACACTGGTCTGCTGCTCTTTCCAGCGAGCTTAGTGGCACTGGTGTTGATGTTGAGCTGGTACTAAGCTATCTGGTTGTTTCAGCAATGAGCAAGGTCCGCAAACCTACAGCTCTGATTCCGCGTCCCAGACCATTTGTCAAGAATGTGTTGAACAAGATTGGCAGAAGTGGTGGTGCACAGAACTTTGCTGCTACACGTACGCCGTATTGGAGTCATGCCCTCTTGCAGTGGTGGGTTGAGAATACAGTTGGAATTGGGAGTGCTGTTGGACTGGCTATCAATAAGAAAATGCATATGGATATCAGGGTTCGAGCGCTGAAAAAGGCTGAGCGTGAGGCTAAAAAGGCCTAAATAGTATTTGACATGCGTCCAAATTTGAATCCATGGCAGCGGTCGAGTACAGCTTGAGTTTTGTTCACTGGCTTTCATGGGATTGGTGGAGGGTCTATACCGAGTACTAAATCAGAAGGCGCCGAAGCAGAAAATTGTCCAGGAAAGGCAATTACTGTACTTATAGTACCTGTAGATAGTAGCACACTAATATATATCTGAAGAGAAATTCAATAGCTGCCGGGAGTCTGCAGAGTACGGCGTAGAGCAGCTGTACCAATGATGGCAATAAATACAGTGTTGCGTCACTTGTTCACCTCAACATCACTGAATTCCAGGTCATCATCCAAACCACCAATTCTAACTATAAAATCAAAGCTTTTCTTTCCTTATGTGTGGCTTTCACCCTATTTTCACCCAGATCTTGCCCTCGTAGACTTTGAGCGACTCTGTTTGCACCCGTCGCTGTGCGAAGGTGCCTTAACCAGGATTCGAGTGATGGCACGTGATTGCCATGTGGCTGAGAGGACCCGACTCACGCGTTTCGCGAAAGCTGCGTATTTACAAGAAAGATACACCACTAGAGACAGGGTCATCTTCCTGTCGCAAGCCACGCAACCCACAAGAGCTCAATTCAAGTGCTGATACAGCTCCCAATGTCATTCTTTTAATCCCCATCATCATCCTCACCGTCGGTCGCGCTCCCTCTCCGAAAACGTCCTCTCCACTTCGACGAACATCGCCTACAATGTCTGTAGCAACACCGCAAAGGCCTTTACCAGGCACTTTCTTCAACACTCCTGCCGTCAATCGATTCAATCCTCCTCCGCAGCCTGTGTTCAATCCGCTCGCGCAACCCGCGCCGCGCCCCACGGCGAATACTCAAACCCCTCAGCCGGTAGCGCCAGTGTCGCAATCGCAATCGTTGGAACCTATTCAGAGGGCTGCTAGGACAATCAATGAGGTCTTGCAAAGGGATGCGAGTTTTCCCGATCTCGATAGTTATGTCAGACGTAAGTAAATGTCTTTTGTCAGGAGCGTGAGGGTTGGCTAATACCATTGGCAGAGGGCATCTCATCAGACTACGAAATCCCAAACCATGCCAGCGAATCCGCATGGTCGCCATTTCAGCGCACGAGAACCTACGATATCCCCGATCGAATACTGGAACAATACAATCGAGCAGAAGTCTCCACCTCCATGGGCTTATTCGCAGAGTTGAACCACGCATATGTCACGATCGATTCCGCTCTCTACCTTTGGGATTACACGAATCCAAATGCAGAACTTGTTGGGTTTGAGGAGCAAATACATCAAATCACGGCGGTGAAGCTGGTCAAGCCAAGGAAGCGGGTATTCGTGGAAAGCATTACGCATCTTCTAGTCGTTGCAACTACGCAGGAGATTATATTGCTAGGAGTGGCAGCAGGCTCTACGCCCTCTGGAGTGAAAACAGTTGCGCTGTACCAAACGCGCATGACGCTAGCTATCCGTGGGATAAACGTTCAAGTCATCGAGGGATCATCCGAAACTGGTCGTATCTTTTTTTCTGGCGCGGATAACGACGTTTATGAGCTTACTTACCAGCAAGAGGAAAAATGGTTTGCCAGTCGATGCGGGAAGATCAACCACACAAGCACAGGTTATTCGTCCATTGTACCAACGTGGAATAAGAAGAATGACGAGCACATTGTTCAGATGGTCGTCGACGACAGCAGACGGTTGCTCTATACACTTTCATCCGAATCCTCAATCCGAACTTTCCACATGGACACGCTTAGCACCCTTCAACAAGTAATCGAAAAGAAGAAACAGGAATGTCTGAGAGACATCAGCCATATGATTTCGCAATCCCCCTTGCTGAACGATCAGTTGAAGATTGTGACCATCAACCCGATCTCTGCTCAGGAAGGCTCGAAATTACACTTGATGGCAACAACTCTGACTGGGTGTCGCTTGTTCTTGAGTGCAACTCGTGGTTATGGATACTCCACCGGCCAAGGTGCCCCGCAAAGTATGCAAGTTCAACATATCAAATTTCCCCCTTCCACAAATCCAAAGCCACCTGGAGCTTCTTCAGTGCAAGGTGCAGATCCCGCAACCGACGTAACATCTACTGCATTGTCTTCGAGTCGCAAAGGCATCCGATTTCCTCCTGGTCTGTTCTTCTGTTTTGTTTCGAAGCAAGATAATCTCGGTGTTGATTCTCTCTTTCTTTCCGGCCCAGATACAGGAAGAATATCAGCGGAAGCTCGAGCAGTCTCAGCTCAAGCATCACGGTATTACGAGACAGGTTGTTGGATAGCGATGGGAGGGCGTGCGGAGGCTGTTGGGCTTGTCACGCCATCATTTGCCGCAGCTAGACGACCACTTGGTTTTGGCAACGAGCTTGCCGTGCAGTTCGATGATATTCCTGCCCAGGTGGCAATTCTCACCAACAGTGGTATTCACATCATTCAACGGCGGCGGCTTGTAGATATTTTCGCTTCTGCTATTCGTAGTGGAGGCGGTGACGACGGGCTCGAGGTGGAAATCAAGAAGTTTATCCGCCAGTACGGCAGAGGCGAGACGACTGCGACTGCATTGGCTGTAGCCTGTGGTCAAGGGAACGATGTTATACCGGGCGATAATCGGGTTGCGAGGGTCAATGACCCGGAAACATTAAAAATTGCCAGAAAGGCATTCATAGAATATGGTGGTCGGCCTTCGTTGAATGAGAACTCGGTGTCTGAAGGTCTTTCAAATGCGGCGGATAACGTGAGGCCGTCTTCACGACATGAAGGACTTGCGCTTTACATGGCACGACTCATTCGGCCTCTTTGGAAGACGCCGGTCATCAGGGAAACCATAACACCAAACTCTGCTATTTTGATCACTTCCCCCATCCAGTCAGACACGTTGCATGGAGTTCAGGATGAGTTGGCGAAACTTGCAAGTTTCTTGGAGGAGAACAAAACTTTCATCGAAGGTCTCTCTGGACCGGACAGTCTTCAGCATGTGGCCAGCCAAGCGGAGCAGGTCGCTCTCCAAGGCGAGCATCAAGCGCTCCACTCCCTTCAGAAACTCAATTCCAGTATTATCGAGGGTATATCTTTTGTTCAAATGCTTTTCGAAGAAAGAGTAGACGACATCTGGAGGAATATCGATGACTTCACAAGGCAGCGATTCCGGGATCTCACGTTTGAAGCTCTGTTCTCAACTGACCAGGGGAAGGATCTCGCCAAGGTTCTCGTGAAAGCGATTGTCAACAGAAACATTGCCAACGGTTCAAATGTCGATACTGTTGCAGATGCGCTGCGCAGGCGATGTGGCAGCTTCTGTAGCGCCGACGATGTAATCATCTTCAAGGCTCAGGAGCAACTACAAAAGGCTGGCGAACCGGGTTCAAGCAGAGACATGGTCCGCAACTTGTTGAACGAGAGTCTTCGTCTCTTCCAACAAGTCGCCGGTTCTCTTTCTTTCCAAAACCTGCAAAGTGCCGTTGAGCAATTCTGCGCTCTCCAATTCTATGCTGGCGCTATCAACCTGGCTCTGCTCGTCGCAAAGGAATCTGATCGTGGAAACAAGGCCCAGATGTGGGTCAATGAAGGCAAACCACAAGATGATTCTCGAAGTCAGGTATACAACTTCCGTCTACAATGTTATGATCTTGTTCATCGAGTCCTCGTAAGCGTGGATGATGAAGCCAATCAACAACCAGATGTCATCGATGGTCAGACCACCTTAATCGCCACCAAAAGGATCGAAGCACATAGTGTAATTGATGACTCGGACGATGAACTCTTTCAGTTCAATCTGTACGATTGGTACTTGGCCCAAGGGTGGGAGAATAGGCTATTGGCCGTCGATTCTCCCTTCGTGGTCCAATTTTTGACTCGATCTGCGCCCACTAGTGTGGAGAGATCTGATCTGCTATGGAGATTCTACGTTCACCGCGAGCATTTTTACGAGGCAGCTGCTGTTCAACTGGATTTGGCGAAGAGCGAGTTTGCAATTCCTTTGGCAAAAAGAATTGAGTATCTCAGTCGGGCGAAAGCAAATGCGTCAACTCAAAGCCCTGGAATTGGGAGACAGGCACGACAGATCCTTCTTTACGAAATTGGCGAATTACTTGATGTTGCAAACATTCAGGACGAGCTTCTTGGTCGGCTTCGCGTAGACACAAGAATGCCAGCTGAGCGGAGACCGCAAATTGTGCAGGAGCTGGATAATTTGATATTGAATCTCTCCAACGTAAGTTCGCTCACATGCTCCCCATGTCATATCACTAACATCATTTAGCTGTACAATGAGTATGCAGATCCCGCCAATTACTATGATATCTGCTTAATGATCTACGAGTGTGCCGATCATCGCAATGCTGCCGACATCAACGCTACCTGGCAGCAGCTTCTCGAAACTACCCACACGAAGGTCGCCAGTGATCCAAGCCAAACTCAACAACCATACGAAGCTGTTATTACCATGATCAAAGACATGGCTGATCGCCTGAATCATTCCGAAGTCACGTTCAATGCAGAACACATCATTGAAATGATAGAAAAGTATGCTGCCGAGTATCAAAACAACATCGGTCCACGAAACTGGGTAGTCGACTTGTTCGTTGAAGTCAACATTCCATACGAGACTATCGTCGCCGTTCTTCAGACCATGTGGTACAGTGGCCTGGCCCCTTTCACTGGGCAGGCGCAAAAGAGGAAGTTGGCTGAGCAGATTGTTTATACCTGCGAGGAATGGTATGAGAATTGTGTGCGCACAAACACGAGATTATACGGCAGCGACGACAACGCTCAGGACATCAGCGAGCTTCTGGGGTCTTTGAGTCCAACACTTCTACCGAACGAGTCGGCATCGGCAGACCAAATCAGACGGAACATTCAACGATCTTTTCGTTGATGATGTTCCAGCCCCAAATTGATGGAAAAGTGGAAGGTGCTTCAAAGACCATTATCATGCTCAAGGTGTCATGTTATGTATTTGGAAAAATGAGGGATCTATTGCATTGTGGCGTTCAATTGCGGATTCATTGGAGGACTACATATTCAGCATACGGGGCTGCTCTCTATTCTTCGCATATGTTGGTATTTTTGGGGTTTGTTCCCGGTACTCACGCTTTTGTGGTCGAGCTCGGAAAGCCGGCATGACGGGGGACGCAAGGTGCATAAAAAGCGAAACTTTGTTTGTGGTCTGGCAAATTACCAGTGATTAGACTTTGGAGACAGAGAGTCACTGTACTTTATTGAAGCAATTCAGCGTGGTAGAAGTTTGATACCAATTATTCCATACGAAACGACAATGAGTGCTGTTCCCGAAAAACCCCGTCTCCCAGGTTTGTAGAATTGTTGAGGAGTCAGACGATTATCGTATTTTATTTTCTACGTCCGACTGTGACAACAATCACACGTTGGTTGTTTGATCGTTCTCATGCCACAGTTAATATTCTCCGGCACAGTAACTTCGCCGTCTAGATATTGGGCATCTTATCCTCGGATCCCTGAATCTTTGATTGAAATCCGACCTGCGCTGTCACTCCGTCGCGTCGCTGAAGTTACAATTCTTCTGCCAAATGAAGTGGCTAGGTTCCCTCTTCTTTTGACTATATGAGACGTTCAGTTGAAGGACTTCATACTATCTCCTAGCTTATGCCTCATGTTCACAATACTTTCCAAGAATACAGAATCCTACTGCTACTTTGAGATTTCGCACCCTACTAGCACCAAACGAATTGTTGTTTACATTATTCTGACTCAACGGACGGATTGTCATGGCGAATGTACGCTATCCCCCGGAAGGAAAGGATCAATTACGACGAACAGCTTTAGACACGCCTGATACAGTTCTGCTCGGCGAAGGGAAGTTCGCTGCAGACATTCGAACTAACATGGTAAATAATAATTTAATTATATAACCGAGCTGCATACAATCCGCTAATCTCAAGACTCTGAGACTCTTCGGCAGTGTATTAAATGAGTTGAGTTGAGCTGAGTAGTGGTCACTACTTAAACTCAACTCAAACTCAACTCAAGCTACTCATAATTAGTTTGAGTAGTTTGAGTAGCGCCACACGCGTGACCTCTAGCCAATTAGATATCTCGGAACCTCGGGTCAGCCCCTTAATTACTAGTTAATATACCCTATAATACTAGACGCCACCTACCTATAGAGGTTAAGTGGGGGGGGGGGCTAAGGGGTAATATTTTATATACCGCCTTACAAAATAATTCTAGTATATAGGAGGTGTATTAAACGTACCCCTTATACCTCTATAGGGGGTAATATTAGGAGCCTTACTAATACTACTCAAACTTCTCAAACTAATCATAAGTAGTGTAAGTCACTACTCAAACTTAACTCAGGAGGTCTACCACTTTAACTCAACTCAACTTAACTTAAGTTATTCATGATTAGTTTGAGTAGTTTGAGTATTCCTTTAATTCACTGCTCTTCGGTGAAAGCTCACTAGTACTGTTGACACAAAAATATATTGACGCGATGCCAGATCTCTTGTTCATCGCGAGTGAGGCTATGAAATATAAAACTTATCCCACTTGAGGCGCAGTAGATGCGAGATCACTAGATGATCAAGTGTTGACTCGTTAGTGTAAGCTTCACACATCTGCTATTTGCTTTCGAGAAAACACGAACGGGCCAATGCTTATATTAAGAGCGCAAGTATTTTCATTATCTAACTATCCACCTGTAACCATAAAATATCATTATCATTTATCCATATAATCATCAAACAACAGTCAAACCAGCAGTCAGCTTGATATCCCGACTACTGAATCCAACACTGAAACCAAACTCTCCCTCGGGAATGAGCCAGTCCTGGGAGATGATATCCCAATAACTGAGATCACGTCTCATCAATGGGAACGTGACGGTGGACGACGCACCAGGCTCGAGGTAGACCTTCTCGAATCCACGGAGTTGCTTTGGTGGGGTTCCAGCTGGTGCGGATGCTGGTAAACTGAGATACAGTTGTGGAACTTCTGCGCCTGCGACCGTACCGGTATTTGTCAATTCGACAGTGACGTACCATAGGGTTTCCCAGAGCGCTTCGTTACCACCTGGGTTAACAGCACCTGCTGGGGCAACAGATGTGACTGTGGCGTTTCCACACTTAAGGAAGGTCAAGTCTGAGACTGAGAAGGTTGTGTAAGAGAGACCAAAACCGAATTCGTATCGGACGGACATGTTTTGGGCGTCAAAGTAGCGGTAGTCAATCTCAAGCTTCTCTTCGAAGTAGATGTTCCATGCGTATGGGTCGGTTGAGTTGACAGAAGTGAGTGGCAGAGCGTTGTAATCGTCGATCTCGAGGGCGATTGTGTATGGGAGTTTTCCGGATGGGTTGACTGCGCCGTAAAGGACGTCTACGATTGAGTTACCGGTTTGCTCACCTGGGAAATGGGCGGCGAGGATGGCAGTGACGTTGGTGTGATTGGCGAAGGGAAGGTTGTTAATGCCGGAGGAGTGAGTGATTACGACAGTGTTGGAGCAATAAGATGCGACGCTCTCCACGACATCATTTCCTCTCCAGTCGGTATCTAGAGACTTGCGGTCGGCAGCCTCTTCGGCCCAGGTCTTCAAGAAGACAAGACATACGTCTGGTTGTCCGGGGTTAAGGAGAGTTTGGATATCTGTATCCGCAATCAAAGTGTTGTTAAGGTACGGCTCGATGATTGCGCCGGTCTTCAGCGCTTGAGCCTTCAAAGCATCCAGTGGAGTAACCAAGGATGTCAAGCGACCAGTTCCAGAACCACCACCGGCGACAAGTGTTCCGGCCTCGTAATTGTTTTGATTCAAGTATCCAGGAGCTGGCTCACCAGCGTCATTACCAAAAATGGCAATCACCTTTGGAGCCTTGAGAGGAAGGGTATTGTTGACATTCTTGAGCATGACGGTAGCTGAAGCACCCAACTCGCGAATAGATTCGCTGTGGTTTCCTCTCACATCGCGAGAACGAGTACCGTTCAAGTTGAAATATCTGAACCATGTGTCGGTTGGCGAGAAGGTATTGAGATCTCCACTGGAAGGATCAACCAGGGGGAAGTCGACATCCTGACCGAGATGGAAGTATGGAGTCATGATACGGATGATCATACTAATTAGTCATCAGCGACCACTTTCCAGCAACATGTACACACAAGGGAACTTACTCATCAACTCGAGATGCATCGAGAGTTCCGTTTGAAACTGCAATGCTGACGTTTCGGCCAAAGTCAGAGGCTTCGCCAAAAGTAAGTCCGTAAAGACCAAGTCCACCTGGCATGTTCATGTCGAGACCGGACTCAATCGACGGGACACCGGAATGAGTTCCTCCCCAATCACTCATAACGTATCCTATGTTTGTTAGTCAGTCCAAAAAAAATAGGCATGAAGGCGGTCTAATTTACCCTGAAAGCCAAGTTCTTCTTTCAACAACCCGTTTAAGGCCTTTGAGTTCTCGCAGGTATAAGATCCGTTCAAACGTTGGTAACTGCACATGACACTGGAAACACCAGCACGGACGGCATTGGCAAATGGCCACATGTAAAGCTCGTGCATAGTCCGGTCGTCCAAGTTGGATGAAATTGATTCTTGAACGATGACAGATCCATTGTATGTTGGGTTTCGTTGAGTCTCTTGCTCGTTGGCAATCCAGTGCTTGGCAGTCGCTTGAACACCAGCGGCTTGGATACCTTTGATAGTCTCTTCCATTGCCTTACCTGTAAGATATGGATCTGGAGAAAATCCTTCCCAGTTTCTGCCAGCATAGGCAGATCTACCAAGAGGGCCGGCGACAGGTCTATTGAAAAAGATTAGTTTTTGACATCAAAGCGTCCCAACTTACTTACGAAAGTGCAACCTGGGCTCCCTTGCCGCGAAACTCCTCACCCATATACAGACCACGCTCGTACATCAACTTCTTGTCAAAAGATGCAGCGGTAGAGACACCAGCCGCAAAAACACTAGCATAATCGGCAACACGAATGGCTAGGGGACCATCTTGAAGACAAAGCCCGTTGAAACCAATACGTGGGATAGGTACAATGTTGCCCACACATGGGCCTGGCTTTCCTGTCTAGAAATTTCCTTAATTTGGATTCGAGTATCACAGGGTTAAAGGTTGACTTACAACCATATCATCCTTCTCTTCTGGTGTAAGCTGAGCAAGGAATGCCTTGGCCTTTTCTAAAGCAGCTTCCCATCCAATTCCAGTGGCATTTGCTGTTCATGATAAGTATTTGACTTATAAGTGTTCAGATATCTGGGACTTACGAGAAGGGTAGACCGGCGGCGAGTTTCCATATGGACCCAGAATTGGAAGGTATGAAGATGTGGAGTTGGAGGCCGAAGAGACAGCAGATTGAGCAGTGGCAGTAGCCGCTAAAGCTGCTACTTGTAGAAATGAGAACAACATTATGAGATTTAGAGTTCGCCTTGACTCTGTACGAATGTCTGGGGGTCTGAGAGTTTTTGACATCAAAACCTGCGAGAAAGTCTTGAGGCTTTATACATGCTGTAGAAGACCGCTTCGGCCGAATATTTCGATGAAAACATTCTTGCAAATCCTCAAGAAGCCGGCCCGATCTTTGATATGCTAGAAAACCAGGAAACCAGGTCATGCCGCCACGAAAGCTGTGCAAACATTGAAGCCAGCCTCGAAATCTGACTCTTGACTGGAAGACTAAGGGCAGTAATCCGAAGTTATTCCACTACGAGGTGTATAAAACCCACTGAAAGATCAAAAGGTGGGGTAGCGACTTGGCGAGGCCTGTCGGAAAATGAATCTGGAGAATGGGGAAGCGGAGGCAGCTGCATACGGGAGGTTCGAAGGCGGAGGAGCAAAGTGCTACTGTCGATGTGAAGGCGAAAAAGGGCCGAAGATAGTACCAAGCGATGTTCGCAGCGATCGTATCCGGCAAATCTCATATCGCAAGTGCCAGAAGCTTGGTTTGCTTAATCCTCGTGCCTTGCCCCCCTCTCTCTTCCCCAGAAAACTCTCCTAACCCCGCTCGCTAAAGCTCATTTGGAGGTCGCTTGGGTCAAACTAGTTCAGACCTGCGTATTGATTGAAAATTCTGAATGACAGGTCACCGAAGTTCTCCCTGAATAACAGTTAGAGATGTGGAAAGTGTGAAAGATGAGGATGGTGGTTCCGTCATCGTCGACGGATGAATTGCAGTTTGACAGGGTGCAAGACTGTTCACACTGGTAAACCTACAATGCCAATCCAATCTCTCATTTCTTTTTTAGCAAGCACTTCAGATCGGCTCAATGCTTGGTAGATGATGAGGCATGGTCATGAATAATTAGACTTTAATAACAAAGAGTCTGGCCTAACACAGATCAGCAATGTAGATAGGGACCAGGAGACAGATGTCAGAACTTACTGATTGAGTGGCAGAAGCTTGTCGAGTCATGCTTCTGAGATAGCTCGAAAGAATATGACTCTAGAGAGCTAGGACGGAGAGTATGCGACCTTGACCTTCAATTGAATGGCAATGCAGAACGGACTGGCCGACAATAGTCAAGGTTTCGCCTACGTCAACATGCACAAACACCGACATTTAACCTTAGCATGATCTTGAATCGGTCTACCTTGCGTGAGTGAAGATGAGATTAAAAATGCAAATTCCAATAATGCCATGAAGCTACAAGCCAGTTTGTCGGCGCAACCTGCGGCGTTTCTTAAGTTCCACTATCCAGGGACGGGTTATATGCCGGCAACAAAGCCGCTTGACGTGTTGGATCCGAGGTAATGTTGGATTATTCTAAGCTCAACATCTGTGACCGGTCGTCGAGAGCGCAATTGGATATCGAAGTGAGGAATAATAAAGCGTTAGGCCCAGACGATCATGTTATATTTGAAACAACCCTTCCTGACGTCTTCACCGCGAGAAAGTAGGTTCTCGTGAAGAGGTCGGCGTGTCAACTCAAGTGAAAAGTCCACTTCACACGTTGTCGACCCAACACTGTGGATGCAAGTGCTGTGGGGAGCGGGGATGGAGCTGGGGCTGGGCCTGGGGAGGATGGGGGATGAGATGCGCAAGCATTTTCTGCGCCGCAATTTCCCCGCCACCAAGAGCTTTCTTCTCCACGCAACAACCTCACGGACGACACGCCACGCTCAACACGATGCCCATCGTATCTTGGCCCGAGTATCATGATGAAATCATGCCAACCGTGGCATACCAGCTATACTGGACTGATCCGTTTCAGTGCCGAACATGACAATTGCTTATCCGCACGTCCTAAGTTCGTTTCCGGGGCCGTTGCTTTCCAAGGTCCTTCCTGTTGACCTTCATTAAATATACTCTTCCTCTACTTCGAGCCAGACAGATATCTTCAGAGCCTCCTGACTCTTTCTTCCCCCGTACCGAGCCCATATCTGCAAATGCGCCCGTCATTTCGAATCTTCAACAACGATACGGTCCTCGAGCCTCGCGAATCCTGTCTTACGAAATTGAATGTGTACAAACCAGTACACACAATCGGTCTTTCAAGTCCTTGGATCTGCCATAAGTGACGGGCACATCGGTGTCTCTCCATTGTTTGCTTCTAAGCTTCTTTAAGAACACAGAGAAACCAAACGGAGGTCTCCGCAAACGGTTCTCCTTGATTCATATGTAAAAGAGATTCCGTAGGGTAACGGACGAAGAAGAGAGTCGACGGTCGAAAAGCCGGGGTGAATGTATATGCAGGTGGTCTAGAATAATCACTTCACATGAGGTCTGTCTTGCGGAAGGGATTGGGTACCGAGAGATGGTTATTATCTTGTGCTGCTTGGCACCTCGAGCACCAGACTGTGGTCAAGATATTTCAAGTGCGGCGACACTTATCATGAGCACGTCTCGGATCCCTTGAGTCGTGTTTGTAAAATGAAATCTTTCTTTCGTGTGGAAAGACAGGCTTGTGGCAAGTCACAACTTCATTCTACAGTCGTTTGCGGTCTTCACTCCTGGTCTTCACTCCCAATATCCATACTGCACTGATACGTACTTCCGTCTCATCCCTTTACTCAATAAGACTTCCCCACGTCATAGTATTATCAATCCCGTTGGATGATCTAATCCGTAGGTTCATGTGCGTGCGGGATTTGCGGACCAGGGTTGCGGATGCGGCGCAGAACAGACGCGCTTTTGCCCAGATGCCGGTGTCCAAAGATTATTAATCGACAAAATGGTTCTATTCAAATCTGTTATCGCCCAGTCGGTGATATCAATTGGCTATCAACCGCATCGAACTTGTTGATAGGTCTTCCTAGATGATGAAAAGATTCGAATCATATGCACTCCCGAGGTGTCTTGATTATTTCGTTGATTATGAAGTGAAATACATTGATCAGAAATTGTTTTCGGCCGTTGATTATATCGAAGAGACAATGGATCTAAGCAGATGATACTTTTGAAAATATTGGTACATAAAGTTCATTATTTCCGTCTCGTTCCTTCTATTTTATCATTCTCATCAAGCTTAACATTCGCACCGCAGCACCTCTTAGCACATACTCACATTCCTAAGTTGATCCCTGACAATTCAGAGCTTTTCAAAATAATTCAATATGGTTATCAAAGGCCCCCTTGTTGAGATGCTAGCCCGCAATAGGTAAAGAAGTCGCATGCAATACCTTACGTTTGAACTATCCTAACATCTTTTAGCAAATTTGCGAGTTCCTATCAATCTCCACCGGCTCTACTTCAAATGGTCTCAACTATGCGAGCTACTGGCGCCGGGGTGGTAGTACTCTCATGCTCTGATCCAAGACTCAATCCGTACCAGATCTTGGGTATTGATGCCACCTTGAGTAGGTTCCCTTAATTCCACAGCGCTCACTGTCACACTCTCATCTTTGAACTATGGATATGCGGTTTACTTACAAGTAACAGAGGCAACCATGGTTCGTAATGCGGGAGGTCGCGCTTTTGACGCTATCCGTACACTGTCTGTACTTCAAACGATTGGCGCTCCGCGCACTATTGCAATTATGCACCATACCGGTAGGTTTTCCGATGATTAATGTTTTGTAGCAATACTGATTTTTCTCATCAGACTGTGGAATGACACATTTTCACGACGACGCGATTAAGAAGGCTCTAATTGAGTTATCGCCAGGGGGAAAGACGAATATTGAGAAAATGCAATTTGGCGAGATCAAAGCAAGGCAAGTCAATCCAATGCATCTCAGCATTCCTGAAGCTCATTCGTCCTAGTATCGAAGACAGCGTGCGAGAAGACATGGCTCTCCTTAAAGCTTCGCCTCTAATCGCCAAGTCGACGCAAATAGTTGGGCTTTCCTATGATATTAAGACGGGTATCCTCACCGAAGTAACTGATGGCACTGAAGAGAAGAGCGAACTTTGAGTTCAGAGTTGTGTTGTAGATCAATTTATCGGATTTCTGAAATACTCATCATAAAACATTTTTCTGAATGTCGTATTGGGACTGACATGCATGATGCTGATAAACAGCAGTCAAGGTTCTCATTCGAAGACCACTTGCCGATAACCTTAAATAACACAAACTCGCAACGACATCGACGCGATGCTCATTCGACCAGCTTGACACACCATTTCTAATTTCGTTACTGGCTTCCGATCGCCATTAGAAATGCTGACATACCGCGAAGATTGCCAGAAGCAAGACTGATTCCTATAGTCACACAGTATCCTGCACCAGTAGACTAAAGCGGCGATCTTATTTAACTCTTTATTTAACACTAAGGGGTAATATTGCCGCTTAAAGATAGGCGTGTACGTCATGGGCCTATCGATATTCAGTCAAAAAGACTTCCTCAATATACCCACCGCTCTAATTCTAGAGGAGGCAAATTCACGAAGAATACTAAATACTTTCCTATTACCCTAAATATATTCAATGGACTCTCTAGACTGTATCTAAACAAAATGAGAACCTTCCAAGTGTATGATATATGATAAGAAATTAAGAATGTTACCCGGTACCAAGACAGTAACCGAGTCCGTTTTCTTGTAGCTAACAGAAGGCTGTGGTGAACCTCGGATTTGGGCTAGAGAAAGGTTCGCATTAGTTGTAAGACGGCCATCACATAGATATTCGTAACCCAAGCATCTTCCACATCAACTTCATTTCTGCTACGTAATAGAGGTAAAGGTACTATGAAATCGAACTACTCTTGCGGTCACCCAGTTATTCTCAGATCCAAGTTTCTTCGTGGTTTCTCAGCCAAGGCCCAGGCTTCTCACTCCACGCATTTGAATAACTTGGTCTTGGAGCACTGTTTCCCATTAATATTGTTATGCAGAGAAAGTGGATTGAAAGGCACCTACTGAGATCTTATGCTCAGAATTCATCCTCCTTCGTGCTGAACAAGGCTAGATTCCCATTAGAGGTACAGTCAACAAACGGATATTGAGAACATACCATCGTTGCTTTGGCGAAGCTCCTCTGGCTCGAACTCATCCGCCTTAGTGCTGAACAAAGCTGTATTCCGTTAACATAAAAGATCATGAGGGGCTTGAGAGAAGATCCTTACCATCGTTGCTTT